CATAATTTTTTTTAAAGAAGACAAACCAATTATCACCCTTTACACTAAAAGGTAATATTTTAGGAAGAAACCTATTTGCAAAAAGAAAAAAAAATGTCATAAAAAGGTCTAAATGATAATTTTTTGAAAAATATTTGTTCATAAAAATAGGGGAAATGAAAGTAAAAAATAATCTCAAGGGCAAAATAGAAAGATACCTTTTTTGAATTTGAACAAGTAAAATGTGTCATAGGTTTATGTACTATTCGATTTTTAAGAATTTAATCCCTATAGCATTATTTAAAGGAATTTAGTCCTTGTAATATTATTTTTAAGAAATTTAGTCTCTATAGTATTGTTTTTTAAGGAATTTAGTCTTTATGCATTGTTAACGATTGAACTAAAATTCTTAAAAATTCTTAAAAAATTATACTACAAGAACTAAATTTCTTAAAATAATACTAGAGGAATAAAATTTATAAAAATCAAAAAGTACAAAGACCTATAACACATTTTGACCAATTTGAATGCAAAGAAGAAAAATGCCTTTTTGAATTTGAACTTTTCTTGAAAAAATGAAAAGATGAAGAAGTTGAAAATGGGGCAAAATGCCAATATGTTTTTCTTGACAATGAATGATTCTTAGTTTGATTATCCTTAAACACATTTTTGGGCCTCTTTTATCCTTTTTTCATAACCCTTCACTATAACATACATACTTTAAAAGTTTATTTTGATCAAATGTGAATACTTGAATTGAAAAATTATATATTGAACTAAAACATGATTGTGATATAATCAAAAACAGTGAGATTATGATCCTCTCTTATATTTTAGGATTGATTTGTGGGAATGATTGGGGTGAATGAAACAAAAATGATGAATGAAAGAAACAATGAAAAAATGAGAAAAAAAATGAAAGATGAAAAAAATAAAAAATAAAAACTTAAATTGAAAACTTGAAATGGTGAATTAAGTAAGAAAAAGATAACTAGGTTAGAAACATGTAAAGATAGCCTTAGATTGAAAAGACGATATCATTTGAGAATCTGATAGGTTAGAGGCAAGATTTGGTTTGATTAGCTAAAAATATAAAAGACATCAATAAAACAAGTTTTTGAGAAAAAAAATTATGGATTTATGTCTAAAATGGTTTGAATATTGATTATTTGGATGTTGCTATACCATCCAAACATTTATCCGAATAATATGCTTTGAAATTGTTCATTTGCTTATTTGTTCTTTAAACTTGATCTTGTATTGATTAATCTTTTCTTTCAATTTACCTTACTCTTCATTATTGTTACTTTCCCAAAATAAGTTGAGAAAATATACCATGAATTGCATTTGCCATGAAATTGAAATGATGATAAATGAATGAATCCATAAAAGATCCTTATAACACTTTGAAATGAAAGTTGGGTGATAGGGACAGCATGAAAGCAAATGAGAGTAACGAAGGAAACTTGAGAAAATGTTAATCATCAAAGCCTTAAAAAAAAAAAAATGAATGAATATTTTGAAAAAGGTTAAATATTGTGATCAAATTGGCAAATGAAGATTTTGGTTCAAAACTTATTGATAGAACTTGTTAACCAGTCCTGATATTATGATTCCTCAAAATTGGAAAGGACAAAAGGCATTGAAAGATCTTGAGAACCTTTTTGCCAAAATTAGAGTTGCATTTGTGACATTACATTCATGCATTGCATTCGTAGCATTACATTCATGGCAATTGTTTGATAAGAAGTTGTGATCTTGGATTTTGAAATTGAGATTAATGAAAGTGTGAAATGTTGTTACTTAAAGATAATTTTTCCAAAAAAAAAAAATGAGACTTTATCCTTAATGAAGGGTAATTTTTGAGATAAGGATTTGATTCCTTATGGAAATTTTTAAAAAAAAATGAATAAGGTATTGATCCTCAATTAGGGAAAAATTTTTACAAAGATAAAAACATTTGATAAGATTTGGATTCTCGTGTGAAAAGGATCTTGCGAAGGTCAATTTCAATATTTGATTGGTGGAAAGTTTAAAGAGATGATTTCATGAAAACTTGGTAATCTTTGCTTAAGGTCAGCCTTTTATATTTTTCAAAAATTATTGGGCCTCTGATGAGACGAGCTTTTAAAATTTTTAAAGTTTCATTACCTTTGATGAAAGGAAACTTTTAAATTTTTAAAGTTTCATAGCTTTTGATAAGAAAAACCTTTTAAATTTTTCAAAGTTGATAAACCTCTTATAAAATGAGCTTTTTAAACTTTAAAGCTTCATAACCTCTAATGAATGGAGCCTTTTAAATTTTTTAAGTTTCATAGCCTCTGATAAGAGGAGTTTTATAAATTTTTTTAAGTCGTTGAGCCTTTAATGAAAGGAGATTTTTAAATTTTTGAAGTTATTGAGTCTCTGATAAAATGAGCTTTTTAAATTTTTTTAAAGTTGATGAACCTTTTATGAGAGGAGAATTTTTAAATTTTTTGAAAGTGTTGAGTTGCTGATGAGACAAACATTTTATAATTTTTTGAAATTATTGAGCCTCTAATAAAATGAGCCTTTTTAAATTTTTCGAAGTTGTTAATTCTCTTATGAGATGAGCCTTTTAAATTTTCTAACGTTATTGAGCCTTTGTTTAGAAAAACCTTTAAAAAAATTAAAAAATTAGGATCTGAACATAATAGGTGTCTATATCTTAACACATTTCTTGTTTCATAGAAAATGCACAAAAAGGGACAATTGTAAACACCTTATTTAGTCCAAAGTTTTAATTAGAGTTAAATTTTTATTTTATTTATTTGTTTATTTATTTTATTGAGTTTTTTTTTTATTTTGGTTGTTTAAAAAAGAAAAGAGTCCAAAATTATAAAAGAAAATAATTGGGATTGAAAAATGATTGAATCCTTAAAGGTGTATTTTATTTGAATTTTTTATGTTGAAAGCAAGAAAAAATAAGTTAAGGTAATTGCTTTGAAATTTGGACTCCTACTAAAGTTAAGATTAAACTTCTATTTAAATATCCATAATTAACACAAAGGACAATGATTAGAGAAGAAAAGCAAGAGAGCAAAAAAAATTTGTGAGAGTATTAGGTAGAAAAAATTATGGGAAATCTGTTTTTATAGTGGTGCCTATTAACCCGTTCCCACTATTGCAAGCTGAGCCACTTGTCGAGCTGTGTTGAGTAACCAAGTCGTTTCTTTTTGTCTTTATAGCCAAGCCAAGCTGTGCCTTTATTAAGCCAAGCTGATTCCTTTGGTTTTTTTTTATTTTTTCTATTTTTTGTATTTAAATTAAATTTGAAGATAAATTTTATATTGAAAATATATTTTTTAATCTCACCAAATTATTAAAGGATTTAAATCTCAAATTGAACTACATCATATTATTGGAGGATTTAATTATTTTAAAAAATAAATTTTTAAATAAAATCAATCTTATCAAATTATTAGAGGATTTAAATTTCAAATTAATTCTTACTAAATTATTGAAATATTTAATGATATTTTAAATAAATTCATAAATAAGTTTTGAGTATCAATCCTATCAAACTATTAGAGGATTTAAATCTTATAATTAAATTTTAATTACACTAAATTATTGAAAAGTTTAATTTTTTTAAAAAATTAAATTTATAATTTTTTAATCTTACTAAACTATTGAAAAATTTAAATCTTAAAATAAAATATTATCAAACTATTAAAAGATTTTATTATTTGATAAATTTTAAAAATATTTTAAGGCTTTTGGTAATATGAAATTAACTTATATCTTTTGAATGAACGTCGTAAAAATGTTATAATTTTTTTATATATAATCATATTTTTGAACTCAATTTTAATTTTGTAAACTAAAACCTATACTCTTACAAATATCTTAATCAAGTTTGAAACTTTCCTTAAAAAAATTCAATTTAACGATCAATTGCGCTTAAAAGAAAAATTGATGGTATTTTTTAAATTTATATTTAATGATCGTTTTACGGATACGTTACGTTATCACTTACTCATTTAGAAAAATCCTATGCCCATTGCAGTAGGGCTGAACTTTCCTTGAAAGCGATAGAAGTGAAGAGTCAACATCGTACAGCCTCAAGGACAAGACTCAACTTCGAGAATTTTAGTTCTCTTTTTTCATTTACCCACAGAAAATATTGTGCTTATAAATGGATTCTTTGTGCTTTTAATTAATTAAGTCCCACCCTGAGTAGAGTTGCAGCAAAACATGAAGCAGCAGCAGCAGTCTTCTACTTCTCTAGATCTGGTGCAGTTGGCAACAGCAGCAATGGTGTTACTTTTTCTCGCAGGCCAACTCCCACCTAGTTCTGCTTTAGTTCCTTCTGGTATTATTATTATACTATCCCATTTCACTATCACTGTTACATGCACTTGTGAATCTCACTTGGTTTTTGAGGTTTTTCTGTTTTTTGCCCTCTTGTTTACAAATCTATGGTGTCTCACTTGGTTTTATCAATTTATATATATATATATATGTTCTAAAAGGTGGAGAGAAGATTCCAACTGATGTCCTTTTATGTGGAAGTAGCTGGAGGAAGATGTTTCTGGACAAAGAAGGCTGCTCTCGACGTGAAAGTGCGATCGTGTATAACAACAGAAGGTTTTTAAGGAAATCAGGCAAGATACTGCCCTCTCCGCCATCACCCATACGAAATAAACCAAAATCGCAGGTTGTAATACCCTCACCACCCCCACCGTTATAACCATATTGACAATCTGCATAGCTATATGGGAAGTTCGCTTGTAAGCTTTTCTTAAAGGTTTAAGTAGATGGGTTCGGAAAATCTTGTGTTATAGTTGTTCGCTTCAGCCTGATTTAGTTGCGTCGTCATCTCAAGTAACCAAAAATGTAATTAACTCTTCCATATATCGCTTTGCAGCAGCACTCCATCAGCATCTTAAAGTTATAGAGCGGAGTGATGTCCAAAGTATAACTTGGAATTTAAAAATTAGTAGGAGGAACTAATGTCATCTAATAAGTTAACAGATATACATTGAAATAAAGGCAATTATTTTACTTAATCAGGGAAAACCAGAAATTAGAAATATGTACAACTCAGTGAAACACAGAAAAATCTGGCAATGTTCTTCACCTCTGACATTTAGACACCATTGTTTTGCCTGTACTTCAACATTAGAAGTTGGGACGATGATAGATTTTGGAATGTTACAAAATAAATTACTGATAAAGCAGAAAAATTACAGACCGATGGATACTGATGCACAGTAAGTTCAAAACAAACAAAAATACGAGATCCTAGTTGCCAGTCTGTTTATATTCCGAAGATCAGCTCATTCCAATGCAAGAGGCAACTACAGACTCTTTGTGGAGCTTCTATAAAAGGTAAAAGATAGCATTACATATAAAGTGCCCCCACCCCCCAAAATAAAAATTGAAAACCAATCACCTTCTAGAATTCTCTATATTACAATGAAAACAGGTTTCTATTACATGTGAATGTACAAGGAAAAATGGAATTCTGTTCATTGATGAGAATTCAATCTACAGAGGGAAAATTCCTATCCAGAATGAAAATCTCAGATGGCAGGTGCTTTCATTCACTGCAAAATAGTAATGACAAAACTGCTCAAAGTTTTTTTCCATCTATTGCTCTGTAATATTCATGACCCATCTCCAAAAACCTCTTCAATCATACTACATGTGGGTAAAAAGTCAATTTTATTTTTTTGGCAAGTCGGATATCCAGCATCCCAAACTTTAGTATCACATGGTTCCAAAACATATCCATGGCTACCACCATTGTTTAACCTATTGACAGGGTTTCCAGTATCACCATTGTCAGCATTCGCCTGTGTTTCTAGTGACACAGCCCCTGTATCAGAAGATGTGCAGACTCTTGGACCTCTCGCTCCTCTTCTTCTCCTTGTGCAACCTTGAGAGCTTTCTCATGCACCTGAGCCATGGGATCAGAACCACATTTGCTAAACAACTTCCCGGAATATCTTTCTGAAACTTTGTTAGCATCTGCACCACTAGCAGAATCTATATACTGACTATTACAAGTTTCATCTGCAACATCCTCATCAAAAACACACAAGCCATTTTCCTGGCTCTGATTATGAGCAAAATCTTCTTGACATACAAGTGATTCAACAACAGAGTCCTCATCTTCTCCTAAAAACCCATCTTCATTGTTGCCAGAATCATCAGTACCCTGCCACTCATCGTTATCACTATCGATACTCATTGATTCACATCTGTTCTGCTCAGACCTCTTCCGCAGCACAAATACATTGAAGTAATAACTTACAATATCCTCTTTGAATCGATAAGGGAAGAAAGAAGCAAGGCTGACCCAGAAATTCCTTCCCAAGGATGCTGGATTAGAGAATACAACTTTGTGGAATAGCTCCTCCTCCTCCTCACTCCATTTCTCTGCCACTAGCTCACCCATGTCACAGAAACCAAGCTCTACAAATTTCTCATGCCCAAGAGATTTTCTAAGTTCCTCTCTTGCTTCCAAAATGTGCTGTCTGACACACCTGACAGAATTCTTGTCCTCACAACTGCAATCAGTTCTGCCCCTTCCAACTTTGTCATCATATGCAGAAGACTCCAATGCAGGCATTGGAATGATACAAGTACCCATCAGTTCATTCTCATATCTGACAGCAGCAGTTTCAGATACATTTGTCTCATTAGAAGTATTCCTAGCAACCATTGAGTCCCATTCTGGAATATCTGCTTGGTAATTAGGTCCAACAAGAACTGCTTTCCTCGGACAACATTCCAAAAGTATAGAATAGATATCTTCAAAACGAGCTAACAACCTTACTGAGCGTTCAGGGTTAAAACATTCTGCAAATGAAGGTATGTGAAGTGGTTCCTCTGGCCATGAGTCTTCTTCAACAGAACCACATGTTCCCAAGGAAGAAATGGCAATGCAGCTGGAAACATTGGCTTCAAAGTCCTCAGAATTTCCTGGTTGTTTAGTACCAATGGCATTTGCAAGCTTTTCATCACACTTGGCATTAGCGTTTATGAATCTGCCCTCATCTTTGCCGATTACACATTACAATACAGTAAGAGATAATTGAAAAGAATTACAAAATGGGAAAACAGTTCAACATATTTACAATAGAATCATCTAATACTTGGGTGTTATTCATACAACCACTCTTCCCAAATGGGAAAAACTCAAAAACAAATGAAAATTGACTCATGAATAACTCAGAGAATGAATTTGATCCAGGCACATGAAATCAGCGCCTGGAAATAATTAAAAAGCATAGAGAACTAAGACAAGATTGAATAATCCATCAGAAGTTAGGTACTAAGAAGGATTCATTCAAGTAAGATTCTGGATCAGGATTAATAACATGGTCACCTGTTTAATATTCGCTTAATTACTATTTACAATAATCCATCTGAAGTTAGGTGCTAAAAAGGATTCATTCAAGTAAGATTCCGGATCAGGATTAAAAACATGGTCACCTGTTTAATATTTGCTTAATTACTATTTACATCATCAGTTTCAATAGACAGAATACCCAAAAGTAGGAAATGTCAAATTAACATGCCTAAATTGCAGCCTAAGTGTCTTTCATGTAGTTTATTACAGGCTAGAAGTTCTGTACCTGAAGCATTAGAAATCAGGGCAGCATCTTCAGAAGAAAAAGGTTCTGAAGATAAAACCCATTGATCGCTAGGTTCTGCTTGTCTTGATTGCTTGTTTGAAACCTCGAAAGTATCCTCAAGAAAAGGCCGCTTATTTACCATGTTGAACTGCAGCTCAATATTGAAACTGATGATAGAATAGCAAACAAAAAGAATTGTTGACAAAATAATTCTACTGTAAGTTGCACCAAGGAAGCGACAACACCAAAGAAAGATAATTGACATGATGATTTGACAATGACAACAACAGTAGAAACCAAAACACAAACAAACGACAAAAGATAAAACTCTTTCCCCCAAAATGGGATCTGCTATTTAATTAAGATTATACCAATTTATGAATGGAAATGAACTATGAGGGAAGAATATCAGATTATGCTCACTATAAATAAGCTTTACATGACAAATCAATGATTGTTAATGGTAGTATTAAGGGCAACATTATCAATGTTTTAAAACAACAACAAAATTCACTTGGAGATAATCCCTGCTCACTCTAAGTCACCTCCTAATAACCTAATTATAAAATCAAAATTGATATGACTCATAACTGCATTTGTGTTAGATATACTAAATGAATGTCATAATTAACTAACAGACTTTCAGATGCCATCCAATAATGACATGTTACACATGAACAAACAAACTAATAATCCAAAACACTAGAGAAACATGCACACCTAAGCTAACATGGCCATACCAGAATTTTTTTTGGCTTTTATAGCGTAGACTAGATGACATGACATTATAGACTACAAGTTCATCAAAAAGTTTACATTGCTAATGTATCAATTTAGGAAAAAGTTGAAAAAAAATTAATAATGTCCTTGTTCTTTTTTTTTTTTTTTAATTATGTGGGAGGTGGGGTCAGTAATTTGGGTTATCCTTTTAGCAATTTGGTACTTTGGAGGCAAAAATAACTGTGCTCATCAAAAAATTGCTAATGTGTATTTAAAATTTACAAATAAGAAGCTTGTAATTTCGAAGTTAACCAAAAAATATTATTTTTAATACCTCAGAAAAAGGGTCTTCCTTCAATGATCGATTGGACCACAATTTGGAAAGTATGTGTTCAATAACGAGCAATAAAGGAATTACGATTGCGATATCAGATGCGACTTGACTTTCCCCTAACTCAATTAAACGGAAAAAACAAAAGCCCCGATTTTCAGTAAAACCTAACCCTAGATCTTGAAATTGTCAAAGAAATCTACAAGATTGAGGTTAATACACAAGCAAAAACACCTATTCCCAACAACTTTAATTCAAAAACCTCACGGATCTATAGGTCAAACAATCTTTTACGAATCGAAAACTAGAAATCAAATAACCCCAAAATTGAATTTTTAAAACTAATTTGAAGTCAGAAACAGAACCCAGATCCAGAAAAACTCAAACCCACAACGGGATATAACGAATCTCAAATTTGAAATTTACAGATCAATAAATTATTTAAAAAAGAAACCCTAACCTTAGAAACAGATCTAAGAAGTGGCAAAAAAACAAAAGCAGGATAGATCGGTAGAGAATGAAGAGAACAAATCAAATGTGAGCTTGATTTTATCATAATAAAAAAATAGAGATCAAATCGCGAAAAATGATCAAGATAAAAATTGGGGATTTCGTTAATGACGAAAAGGGTTAAAGGTTAGGGTTACCTTTTTTCGTAACAGAAATGTCCGAAAATGGAAATAGCCTGAAAAAGGACACGTATCTGGTGATAATTACGGGGACTGCCACTCTGATTAAGGGTAATAGAGAAGTCGTATAAGTAGGATCTTCGTATATGGAAATGGGGTTATAACTTATAAGCGTTTGGCGAACCGCGAATTTGATCCGATGGCCTATGGATGAGTGACGCGTGGAAGATAAATGGAGGGAAAGGAGGAAATTTTCGACAAATCCCGGTTTCAAAATTTTGACACATTTTTAAATATAGCAGCGTACCTGCCGCGATTATTGTGGTGGGCTAGAATTGGCATTTGTCACATTTTTAAATATACTAGCGGCGTAAATTTTATAATTTAAAATATAATATTAAAATAAATATAAAAAAATATAAAATTTTAATTTTAATATATAAATATAATAAAAATAAAAAAATAAAAAATTTATTGTTATATTATTTTTATATTATATAAATTATAATACATAATTTTTATTTAAAATAATATAAAAATATTTAAATTATTAATATTTTATACAAAATAAATACATATACGAATGAGTTTTTGAATTATGTGCATTAATTAGTTAAACATTTCCTATTTTTTAGACATTATATAATTTAAAATATAATATAAAAATAATACTTTTGGTCTCATTTTGTTTATTATTTTAGATGTTTTAAAATTATATTTTTTTAAATATCTAAAATTTTTATTTTTTATATTCTAAATTTTTTTTATATTAAAAATTATGAAACTTTAATTTTATAAAAAAATTTTAATTTTAATATTAAATATATTAAAGTCAAAGATTTTTTTTAAAATGGTGAAAATCAATAATATTCAAATAATTTGAGATGAAGAGAGTATAAAAAAGAATTATATATAAATTTAATGAAAATAAAAAAATATGTTATATTTTCATATTGATACTTTCATATGAAATAATATAAAAATATAAAAATTATTAATATTTTATATGAATCAAACACATCAGTGAGCTTATGAATCATGTAAATTGATTAGTTAAACATTCTTTTGTTCCTGGTCGTCGGTCTTCCTCAAAAGCCAGTCAGTACTCGCTGCAACTCCAGCAGATTTTTGGTCTTTCATATTTAGCAGCGGCTGCATCCTTGTTTTTTTTGTTCCAAAAAAACAAAATATCAAAAGTGCTATTAATGATATGAAATGAAACATTGCTAATTTATTCTTATAGCAGCCAGCCGGTTTAGGTAGATTTGCTATAATGTAGATTTTAAAGTTATAGCGACAGCCAGCAATTAAAAGTAAGAAACTTGGTCTTGGGATTTAAAATGAGCCTCCCAAAGTTTAGTTGTAAGCTTTATGCCAAAGCAGGCATGTCCTTCAACCAAGAATCGAGTGGCTTTCCGATTGAATACACGATGAAACCAATCTCCCTCAACTTGTCAACATTCACCACAGAACGACCATCGAACACAAATGCAGGCTTTTGCATGTTGTCAAATATTCGTTGGTAATCAAGTGTCTTGAATTCGTCCCACTCGGTGAGAATGCATAAACCATGAGCATCCTTGGTTGCTTCATAAACATCCCAAGTTACGGTCACTTGCTTCACTGCAGTGGGGCTCATTGGCTGCAGATGAATGGGATGATCCCAATCAAATTTTTTCATTATCAGGTCCCTCTGGATCTGATCCTCTGTGACCTGAGGATCGTATATGCTCAAGCATGCCTTATCACCCAACAGGCCCTTGCACACATCAATTGCTGGAGTCTCCCGAGTATCACCTGTATCCTTCTTAAAGGCAAATCCCAGGATAGCAATTTTCTTGCCTGAAACTGTGTTGAACATTGAAGAGACAACCCTGTTTACGAAACGGTTTTTCTGGTAGTCATTCACCTTGATAACTTGTTTCCAGTAGTTAGCAACTTCAGGTAGTCCATTGCATTCACATATATAGACCAAGTTGAGTATATCCTTTTGAAAGCAGGATCCACCGAAACCAACGCTTGCGTTAAGGAACTTTGGTCCAATTCTTGAGTCCTTACCAACAGCATGGGAAACTTGTGAAACATCTGCCCCAGTAGCCTCACAGAGAGCTGACAAAGCATTAACTGAAGAAATCCTCTGAGCCAGGAAGGCATTGGCTGCAAGTTTTGAGAGCTCAGCTGACCAGAGATTGGTTGTAATGATTCTGTCTTCTGGCACCCAATGAGCATAAACATCTTTCAGTGCTTGAATTGCCATTTGGCCTTCAGGGGTTTCCCTGCCCCCAATGAGAACCCTGTCAGGGTTGAATAGGTCCTGAATTGCAGTTCCCTCTGCAAGGAATTCTGGATTTGATAGAATTTGATACTTGATGCCCTTGCTATTGTGCCTCAGGATTTTTTCAATTGCTTCAGCTGTTTTCACTGGGACGGTTGACTTCTCAACAACAATTTTGTTTGATTTTGATACATCGGCAATCATCCTGGCTGCACTCTCCCAATATGTAAGGTCTGGAGCTTTGCCAGCCCCAAGGCCTTGGGTTTTTGTTGGTGTGTTCACAGATACAAAGATTATGTCTGCTTCGTAGACATGCTTTTCAATGTCAGTGCTGAAGAAGAGGTTCTTTCCTCTGCACTGCTTGACCACCTCATCAAGGCCAGGCTCATAGATAGGGAGCTGGTCACTATTCCAGGCCGAGATTCGAGAAACAGAGATGTCAACTACAGCTACTTCAATGGATGGGCACTTGAGTGCAATAACTGCCATTGTAGGACCACCAACATATCCAGCTCCAATGCAACAGATCTTCACCATTTTCTTCAGTTACCTAAAACCTGGAAGAAGGGAATAGCTATTAATATGCCTCCATTATACAACAAAACCTCAAAACTCTTTAGGCAGATTTAATGAAAAAATATTCTATAGCAAAATTCTTTATTTCACATGACAACTCTTGGTGAATTAATGTAACTTTTCATCGATGATTAAACATAACTTTTACTTGATAAACAAACATAGCTCTTAACTCGATGACCAAACATAACTTTTAACAATTTAAATTAGTATTTATAATTTATGATTTATTAAAACTACAATAGTTTGTCTCCAAAATCAAATACTTGGTTTTCTTTTCAAATGTGAACACAAACATTACTTCCAACATATTTTGCTTTACAGAAAAAGGAAGTGATTTACCATGATGTCAGATTTTCATCATTTTACTAGAATTGCTTAATCTTGGATAGAGAAATGGTTTGGGGTCTTTCCCCTATACTTTTACCGTATAACAATTCTAAAGATAGCAGACAGTTTAGCAGGGTCTTTACAGGAACATGCTCACATGTAGCTGCAGTAAAAAGGTGCAAACAGAAAGGGTAACCAGTAACCCGCTGAGACAGTGCATGGAATGCTATAGAACTAGAATTCTTGCTTGTTTACAGCGAATTTCTAGCCTAGTGTTTACAATACTGAAGATATAAAGAAGATGGTGAAAGAACTAGAGAAAGTTTTCAAGTTTCAGCATATATTCATAACTATTATAGCCAAGTGCATGGGAATCTCCTACAGACAAATCATATCAAACACATAGAAGAGCAAATATTATCCAGAAATGACAAGAACAACTTTCCGTCAATATAACATTCAATCAATGATATATAACAAAAACCAATGATATATGATCAAGAATATATATAAAAGGACTCAAATTGTACCTTTAAGTCTTTTCCTGTAAACTGAAAAAAAAAAAATAGAACTCAAGAGAAATCCAGCAGGGTATGAATATATTAATGATGGGGCCAGAACTATCTTAACACCATATATAGGGGAAAACCAAGACCTTGAATAACCCAAAACCCATTCTACATTTAAGATCTAATATGTTCATTTCACGAAGCGAAGCAAAGTCAGATTCAAAAGGCAGAATAGGAACGTTCAACACGTACAACTTTCATTTTTTGCTTGGTGTTGTGTAAAAATAACTAAAAAACCACTTTACGCTATTGGTATTTAATTTCTTTTTTTTAAATAATTTTTTAATAGATTTTGAACAAAACCCATTTCATTAAAGTCCATTAAAATCAGTTTGACAAAAGAACAAGTTGTTTGTTTTAAGTATCAATGTTCTGACAGGGTATAAAAATGGCTATACAAACGGGCAAATGGCTGGATTTTGACTCAAAGGCTGCACTTTACGCGTTGTTCTCGAGAACTATGAAAAATCCTTCAATCAACTTTGATTTTTCTTTGGTAGAGTCAATTTTGAGTAATTAGGGCTTGAAAGTTAATGCCCATTCTTTATTCAAAGGATGTGATTTTATGGGTCCACAACTAACTACAAAAGCCCCAATGATTTTTGTTAAGATCTGCATATTCTTAACTTTTTAACATTAATTTTGTGCTATTAGTTTTTTATACAAAAATATTGCAGACTAAAAATAGAAAAAAATAATTATAAATATCAAATTTTAAATTTTAAATTTATTAATATTATATTTTATAAATAATTATATAAATTAATTGAATTGAGCTATAGAGACTAATATAAGATTTGAGGTGTACATCTTCCTTGAAGTTATAAATGGTAATAAGTTAAGTTGACTCGAGTTTTTGCTCATCCCAAATCCGACCTGATTGTATATATAAAATATCAAATTTGATCTAGCTATATATATAAAATATCCAAATCCAACTCAATTCAATAATTTTTAATTTTTTTCATACTCAAACCTTACATTATATAAAACATATTCGATCTAACTCAAAATTAATAAAATATTATTTTTAAAATATAAAATATTATTTTTTAATATAAATATAAAATTAAATAAATATAAATATAATATTAATTAATTAAAAATAATTTTTTATATATATCAAGTCAAGTGTATTTAAAATTCAACCCTAACCCGATTTTGATTTTTTTCTTTTATTACTCAACTCGACTCGATTCAATTTGATATCTAATTTTTTAAAAAATAATAATCTTAAAAAATTAAATTAAATCAAAACCCATCAAATACGGATACACGCGTTCCTTACTTGAAGTCATAATTTTTTTTTTTTGAATAATATAATTTTTTAGACTTTTTTTTTTAATAATTGTAGTACTTAGTTTTTAATCAAAAACCCATGTTCTTTAGTAAGTCAAAAACATATAAGTGTATATTTATTTTTACTACAATTATTAAAGAAATTACCTTTTCTTTTTTTTCCTAAAATTAGGTAAATATTTTTGATGGTCAAATAATATGTTATTAAGAAAATTCACTAAAACTTATGAGTTGAAAAACAACTTGCTTGGTGAGTAGAAAAGGCTTTTATTTTTTAGTGAAATGAAAGCCAAACTATTATTCATTTTATTAATAAACAAGTCATCTAAGTTTTTAAATTTTAACAGAATAATATATATCTATTATCGTATATTAAAAATAAAAATCTAATTAAAATATAAGATAAGTGATAAAAAAACATATTACTGTCATTGTATAAAATGAACTTTATACTAATTAATTAATGAAAATACTTGTAAAAAAACAACAAAGGGACAGTTACTGGATTCAATTCAAAAGGAGCTTTGATTAAAAATTTAAAAAAAAAAATCTAAAGAAACCAAATGCAGATTAAAGTAATGTTTTGATACCTGAGAAAATGCCCACAAATCAGCACCAAAGAGTTGATAGGAAAGTGTGAACAATGGCAAAGGATTGAATTGAGATATATAGAGAAGAGTGTAACCTAAAAATTGCACTCATAAGCTCTTACACACTGTCCTTTTTATAGTGGTTTAGAAGAAAAAAAAAATTAAGAGAATTTAGCAATTTGTATGAACCTTCAAGGAGTAAATGCCAATTAAGTTATTACCTAATTTATGTCCTATTAAAGGCAAGAACAACTTAAGGGAAAAGTATTAACTTTTATTTTTTTATAGGAAAGAATAATTAAGTTTAGTTGTTAACTATTCATAGCTATTACAAGGATGTAATGTCCAATTTAGACTATTTGTCATTATAATACGATAAAATTATTCGAAAAACATATATGAATATGAAAATTTTAATTATAAGTATTCATGTATTGAATCCAATCAAGTTCGATCGATCTTTAAAAATCTTTGCTCAAAACTTGATTCATCGAACTTTATAAATTTAAAAATTTTTAAAATATATTAAAATATTATTATTATTATTATTATTAAAATTTTCAAAATCAACTTCTAGGCCTTTACTCAACCGGTTGGGATTTTAGGTTTCTAAGCAAAATAAAACAACTTGTTGATCCTTTTTACTCGGGCATGGCACTAATAAATCAGGATCCAAAGCCTCCGATCTCCATTCTGTTATAATTTTTTTTGTATAAAAAAATCATAATCTGAAAGCAAAAAAATTATAATCACTTAAGTTTTTTTTTATATGTAATAATTATAGAAACCAACTAAATTAATTTTAGAATCGGATATTAATTTTATTTCACTAAAAGATTATATCATTTGTCTAATTTTAAATGAATGTGCTATTTTTATATTAGTACTGAAGTATAGATGCATTTGAAAGTTGCTAAGAAGGAATATGATTTCCAAGAAGAGTTGAATTTTCTTGTTTACTTGGTTCATTGAAATTGGGGAGATGCTTGTTAAAAGTCCGCCTAGAAAGATGATATGAAATTTGAGTTTGTCAATCTATATTATGTGCTGGTTTTCCTTTTCGGCAAAGATACCAAAATTTGGCAAAACGACAAGCAAGAAAACCCATTTGTCACTTTGGTTCATCCCCCTATTTTTCCTGTTTTTTTGGCATGAATCCACGGCAAGTTTTGATGAGCCGATCATATAAAAAGTGTATGTCAACCCTCCCCATCTTAATCCATCGCCATCGCAATCCAAAATCCATGTGAGAACGTTCTCAAGACGTAGAAAACAAAGCAAATTTCTTGTTCTGCATGGCACTCAAGACTCAACTTACGTTACTCGCAAGGCGCATTCCTCATTTCAACACGTTCAAAACCCAAAAACCTGATAGGAAACTGAGACACATACCAGCATTTTAGCAATGGGAGAAACATCATCATCAGAGAGAGTCCGGCCTCCTCCATCCGGCAAATTCCCCAGGGAGATGCCGCTTCCATCCAACTCTCCGAATTACAGCCGCCTCCAAACTGTGAACCCTATCTCGAGGCTTAGCCCTCGGAACAATGGCAGCACTCTCTACGACTCGTATGAGCTCCAAGCTGTGACACACCAGCTGAACAGGGCGATGCAACGATCTAGTGGCTCCTCTCCAGCTTACTTGTGCTACCTGAAATCTCCCTTCTATGGTCAATGTTTAGATCGAGTAAACAGAGAAAATTCAAGAGCAACAAAGAAAGTTTTATGTTCCCACTTGACATGTACAACCATTAACAGAAATGCAAGCAACAGGAGAACAAAGGAAGTTACCAGAGGATTTGCTGCCAAACTTTGGAACAAGGTCAAACAACGGCTGCTTAGGAGTAATAATAAGCAGAGGAATCAGTTGAAAGATGTATAATCAACTGCTGTTAATTGAGTGGTGAAATCTACATAATTATTAACCTAATTAGTTCATGTAACCAACTTTTAGAGGTGATATTCAAGAGACCTAAGGCCCAAATCCTATTACCTGCAATCTCCTTTTATATCCCTACGCTACGAACTTCTTTGTAAAATATATATATACATATATATATATATATCATCTTGTGCAAACAAATAGGGTACAATTTTCCTCCTTTTAATGTAAAATCCTTTTGAAAAAGGGAATTAATCTACTATGTTTTTGGCGGAAATGTGAAAGGCGAAACATGCTTATTTGAAGTTCTTGGCCAAAATCTATAATATAGTAACCCATCCATGGAGGGTCGGGCCGTTTTCCCTAGGTCATGGGGTTACAGCAACCCATCCATGGAGGGTGGCAAGAGACGGCACAAGGTTAACATCAGGATCTAACATTCAACCACTTTAATGCCCCTCTTGATTACAAGCTCATGCTACAAAGCTGGCCAAAATAAATATACATTTATGCCCAAGTGAAGCCATGTTTTTTCCAAACCACCTAAAGGAAGTTGCTTTATGTTAACAAGGATGGGATTTCAAACAGCATTCAATTTTGAAATCCACTTGATTTCAGGCCACAAACCATAGTAGGAATCAAAGGAACAAACACTCACATCATCTTAATCAAAAACTATATTGTGAATATAAATTTTCCAAAACTATTACCTTACTTCATATTCGAGGGGCTCCTTACTATTATTGTTTAAGAAAATTATTATACAAACACACTGGAACAAGAAGCTTTCGCTGAAACCGTGATGTATACATCGGAAAAAGGAGAGGACACAGATAGATGATATAAAACAAGAAAAATTTTTGAGAAAAGCATATGCAACAAGATTGGATTGCTGACCGTATGTACTCCTGTGAAGAAAACCTTAAGTCAGCCTTAATGCCATTTCTTGAAGAAGAGCTCGCTTCTGTGAGGCGTTAATTACGCGATTTGTTTCAGCACTCTCAAGCACATCGGTTATTATGGCAGCTGCACGACCTAGAGGTTCCTCGACCGTCCTCTTCAACATGAAGGCCTGCCCAAACCATATGGTTGTAATAACAAGGAATGTGGCAATTAGATAAAACCAATATGAATAACAACAATCGTATAAGGTTTCTTGAAAAAAAAATTTAAGGTAGTTCGCATTTAGAACACTAACATGGTACCTAATTTATTAGGCAGACAGACAAAAGAAAAATCATAGATAAAAGTTAACTCTAGTCAAATTTGCTGAAATACAATGAAGCAAAAAAAAAATGGATAATACAAATATGACGTAATATTGACACGACGATATAATAATTTTTAAAAAATAAAGACATGGATATGATAAGATACAGAATTAAAAAATATTTTTTATATATTATAATCATAATTAAAAATATATTGTAAATATTGAATTGATTTTTA